GCCCGCCAATGCCCCGCTGTGGGTAGTTAGGAGCAGCTGCGTGTTCATCTGCTTCGGTGCAATCAGCAGCCGTCCGCGGCGAGTCAAACCAAGCCAGCGGTTTCTACAGCATTCGTCCGGCCGGGGCCGCAGATTAACACTACGTTGCAATAATATCTGCAAAGTCCTCACTGGCCAAAGAATAACAAAAACATTCCTTAGTTTCGCACTATTGCAGTCGAGCGACAAAGCCCTGAATCTAACTACAGCTGCATCAACAGCCTGTGTATAATTAGGTCATCAAACAGCAGACACCGAGGGTAGCTGACGTTAAGTTGGCCGAACTCAAACAATTAAATTGCCGTCAATTCAGTCACTCCGTAAACGCGCAGCACCTACAGTCGCTGCTGCCCTCATCTCTGAACCAGGCACGCAGCCGCCTTCTAGGGAACACGCTGCTCAATAGATCTGCAACCCATTATGCTGCAGAACGAGAAAGATTTAGGGGTTTTGATAGGAGTCTGGGGATCGGGAAGATGGAGGATTTTTCCCAACCTTTGCTTGAAACCCTCAGGGGAGGGAGCGAGGAGCCTGATTGCGACGGGGTGAATGAAAGTAAAAGGGTTGATGAAAGATTCCAGATGGGGAGCGATCATCTGCGAGGCCTTAAAGCGCCAGAAATGAGCAGAGCTCACTCTGTCCCCGAGACCCTAACGATAATGCTTTGCACTTTGCATGCTCAGGAGCCGCCCAGCTGGGAGGATGACATCTTCAAAACGTTTTAAGAGGAGCGGAGGCGAGTGCCAGCCAAGCGGCTCGCTTGGGGTTATGGCGGGCATCCATGGAAGGGCAGGTCTCCAGACTGCTTCCAAAAGCTTCACGCTGCAGCGTCTCCCCGTTTTGGTGGGGGGGGGGGGAAGGAAGGAGAACGATTTTGCGATGCAGGGAATGAACAGGAAGGCATCAAAGACACAGAATCGTTTCCTGTAACCCAACCCCAGCGCTCCTCGGGGACGCTTAAGCGATCGCGACTTGGCTGACCTCCATCCTGCAGTTCCTCCTAATGGCCGTTGGCACGAGGACAGGCTGAGTACTAATGGGGCAAAACCCTCTCCAAGGTCCAATTGCCAGCTGAGTCTCAGGGCCTGGCCTGCTCTTCAGAATATAGATGTTTGATTTTATTTTTTATTTTTTAAATAAGCCACGGCTTGCCAGGCTGAATGAAAACCCTGTGTCAGTGAAGCAGTGTGGGCACGAATACTCCCCGGCTCAGGACGGGGCAGCACGCAGCAGCCTGTGCGCCGGGGTGGGCAGGAGCTGCTCACGTACATCCTCGCCATAACCCGGTTCTCACGTTGTCCGGCTCCCGCAGGCAACCCCCAAGAAACAGCAAGCGAGCAACAGCGATAAAACGGCTGTTCGTTTCAGCACAAGGTTATTTTCTAGGACATTAACCAGAGTCCTCAGAAGCTGCCTTGCAAGAGACCCACAAAGAGGGAAAAGACACCTGAGCAGAATGCAAAAGCAGAGCCTCCAACTTGGCACCTCTTCTTGGTTTTGATCTTCTAAAAATAAGCTCTAAAGAAAGGACGAGCTCAAACCAGTGTTAGCACTTGTGAGTAGCTATTTGCGTTGGAAAATGAGCAGTTTCAGCAAAAATATGAGATGACTGCCATCCAGAAAGCGCTTGTTTTCAGTATCGCAGCTATTCACATCTCTAAATAAAACATTCAAGCTGCGATACAACACAACTGTTTTGCAAGGGCTAATAAATAAATGAAAAGTATTTACCAAGCCTGCCTTTCTCTAGGAATAATACACTTAGCATGCTAGAATTATCTCCATCTACGTCCAACTGGGACTTCAAATCAATAAATCGTCTCCTCATCCTTGGATTAGCTCAGTCGGATAATTTCAAAAGCAGCAGCAGCAGTTCTCCACTATTAGTCAAAACAGCTCTGCCAGCTGAATTAACATGATTCCCCCTCGTTATCCGAGAACAATCGCGCTCTGTCAGCGTCCTTGGGTAATAGTTCGCACTGACCTCAACAACAATTTGTGGTCACCTGAGCATTGGGTGCAAGGCTGATTTCCTTTCCAGGAAAATTAACTGCCAGGCATGTAGTCTTTTCGCTCCCCATGCAGCGCGCTCTTGCAAGGGCCGGGATATAGCAGCATTGATTTACGGTACAGGGATATCTGGCCTCGCAAAGCCAGCGGCAATCAGAAACCAGTTAGTACAATGGGCACAAGGGACAAGGGCTGGATGAAAGAAGAGATCACCAACTGCAAATTTATCGATGCATCCTTTCGCCTCTCCATCCAGCCACCTTGCTCCTCACCTGCAATCCCTCAAATGTGGTTCTGAGTGAAGTCTTCAGCACTCCCTATTTTAATCTTGCAACCTGACCGCTCCTGGCGCTGGGTCCTGTATTGCAGTGGGCTTCCGTTTCAGGTTTACGCAGGCTCTTCACCAGAGAGATGCTTAAAACGTGGCACTTCTGTTGTGCTCGAGACTCTAACGTTAACGTCAAAAGATCCATATCTATAAACTTTCTTATTTGGAATGAAATTAGACTCCATCCCAGGCAACCTGCTCTAGGCGACCCTGCTTGAGCAGGGGTTTGGTTGGACTAGAGGATCTCCAGAGGTCCCTGCCAACCTCAACCGTTCTGTGATTCTGTGAAGTTGCAATATTTTCTGTTAAAACTTGTGCAACAAAAGTCTTCTGAGAGAACTGAGATAGAGACGGTTGCACTAGATGCTGGATGCTACATCCCAATGAGTCCCTTGATACCGGGAGCTAGGGAGATGTCCCCACCAGCAAAGCCAACAACTCCCAAGCCCAGCTAGATATCAAGCGTCTCTTGGCTAGACTCAAGGCTAGTCCTTGTCTGCCCTCGTGCTTCACAGGCGTCCAAGCTCCATACAGACAGTTTGCAGCTATGATGCTCCTTGACCACCTGCCTTCGACTGAAGCCCAGGAGCAACCAGCAGCATCGCAGTGTGAACAGGCCTAGCACAAGGTGCCCTAAAGCTGGATTTGCTTTATCTCTGAAGCATGGCCTCAGAAAGCCTCCTTCCACTTTCACGCCTTAGCAAGTGATTATTGTCTAGCTTTCCCTCGGCTCTTCTGGCTCAGGAATCCAAAAAGGGCTGCTTAGGCCCGTTCACTGAAGCTTCTGGGAAGTCCACGTACTTGCAGCTTCCCTTGGTCGTTCTTCCAAAGCTCTGCCAAAAGTAGTTATCCTCCTTGTAATTTTTCTTTTCTGGCATCCAGACATGCTGGCTGGTCGAGTGCTGCCTTTCTTGCTAATATACTCACTAACCACACGTGGTCTTCAGCCACAGTCCCCTCTTTGTCACTTCTCTCCTCTTCCCTTGCTGCTCGTACAAAGCACCCTTTCCTTCTTCTTAAGAAGGAGCCGCAGTAATGCTTGCCATCTCATTTCGGAGGAAAACCGCTAAT